CATGTGCTAGAGAGATGGCTCAACAGTTAAGAGTGCTAGATACTTTTACAAAGGACCAGAGTTGGGTTCCCAGCACTTACATTAGGCAGCTCACAATGGCCTGGAACTGCTACTCTAGGGGTTCTGTTGTCTGTGACTTCTGTAGGTGTGCAACACCCACAAAGACACATAGTTTAAAATACAATATATCTGTAAGAAAAAAAACAAGGAAGACCATTGGAGAGATGGCTCAGCAGTTAAGAATGCTTGTTGCTTTTGCAGAGGATCTGAGTTTAGTTCCCAGCACTCATGTCAGGGAACTTTACTGCCTCAGCACCAGGGGATTCTGTTGGGCCCCAGCCTCCATGGGGTCTCTGTGAGTTGCTTGTCAGCCAATAGCCACAGGTGCATCCTGTTTTCTAGTCCTGGCTTACAGCCCCGGCCTCACACCACTACACCTGGGAAAACAGGAGCTCTTCTTCTATGCGCTCTTACACCTGGGGTTTTCCCACTGTGTTGTAAGTGTATATAAGGCTGCTCTCCCCCTGGAATAAAGAAGATGAATAAAGTTGGAGGGACGCACATAGCACAAGTGGCTGGATGTCTCTGCATTTAATTAAATCTCCAAGCTTTTTTGATACCCAGACTTAGTCGTGGCGTGGGCACCACAGCCCTCTTCTGGCCTCTATGGGTACCTGCACACAACCTTTACACATAAATTTAAAAAAATAAATCTTAAAAGCGGGTAGGGATGGGGTGGGCAGCTCCAGAGAACAACACCTGAGGTTGTTCTCCAACACATGTGAACACACATATATGCACTTACTAGAAGAGTAAGATAGATGATTGTTGATATATAAAGTGTCCAAAATCACAGCAGGTAAGATGCAGTGTAGGCTAGTGAAAACTATGGCTTTGGGACTCAGACAGATGTTCATGACTTGGAGTTTAGGAAAGTCATTTGTGCCCTTGGCAAAGTAAATTTTTCTCACTAAGCTTAAAAGAGTAATAGCAAACTTTCCTTATTGGGTGTCGTCAACATTAAATGATACACTATAGGACAAATACCTGACTTTCAATGTACTATAGTTTATTATCACATATGTAAAACAACAATATAGGTATATTAAAACAATTTTGAGACCAGCTGTGTATTAGACCTGGGGCAGGGAAGCAACCTACAACTGTCTGATTAAAGCAAACTGTATTTAGAAGTGGCCAATGGGTTGTCTCTCCCAAAATTGTGTAGTGACATTTTGTTTGTAATTTAACAAAGCTTGCCTGAAGATCAGAATGCAGAACTAAGCCACTAGTTAGCCATAGAAGACAGGCAGTGGTGGTACACACCTTTAATCGCAGGACTCAGGAGATGAGGCAGATGGATCTCTGTGAGTTTAAGCCCACCCTAGAGGAGAGTGAGTCAGTCTAAAAGATAAACAGAGCTCACACCTTTGATCCCAGCACTTGGGATAACATACCTTTAATCTCAGCACTAGAGAGGAATATAAGGGAGCCTGAGGTTTGGTGAAGAGCATTGCAGACTACAGTCACTCCAAGGACAGGATCGTCCTACTTTGGTCTGATCCTTGGTAGAAGTATGAACTCTCTAGTGGTTGGCTGCTTTGCTTCTCTGATCTTCAGCTTGAACCCCAATATTTGTTTCTGGGTTTTTATTATTTGTGCTACAAAGTTGAGATTTCAGAGAGTAGCTGCTCACTAGCTTTTGAGGTCCCTTTTATGGGGAAGAGTTAAGGCTGATAGAAAACAGCTGTGGAGATAATAGGCTTTTAGCACCTGGACAGAAGAGTAAGGGACCAAGGGCTAAAGGCTTAGGAAACAGACGCTTATTCTTGCAAGGTATGGAGACTTAATAAGAATGTATAACAATGTGGCTCCTGTTTTGGTTTCCTATATGGTGGCTTGTGGTGATACATTATTTATGATTTATTGAAGCGTGCCTGAGAATTCAGAAAGCAAAGCCAGCCTCAAGCTATAGAGATCAGGCAGTGGTGATACACACCTTTAATCCCAGCAGCCACAGAGCTAGGAGATGGTAGAAAACACCTTTAATCCCAGGACTCGGGATTAAGAGGTAGACAGATCTTTGTTAGTTCAAGGCCACATTGACTACACAAAATTGATCCAGTTCTAAAAGAAACATCTTACATAAAGGTGTTCTCAACACCTGGGATCACATGCCTTTAATCCCACAATTAGGGGGATATATAAAACAGGAGCAGGGTCTCAGAGCTGGGACTCAGTCTGAGTTAGTTTCTAGCCACACTGAGGAGGGCATAGCAGTCTGAGTGAATTTGAAGAACAGTAAGGTTGGGATCAGTTTGAGGTGAGGTAGAGAGGTAAGAGCTTGTGGCTGGCTGTTTCGCTTCTCTGATCTTCAGCTTGAACCCCAATATCTGTCTCTGGGTCTTTTATTTATCGTGCTATAGTGACTCATGCCTTTAATCCAAGCACTGGGGAGGCAGAGGCAGACTGGTCTTTGTGAGTTTGAGGCCAGCCTGGTCTACAGAGTGAGTTTCAGGACAGCTAGCGTTAGTTATGTAGAGAGACCCTGCCGAAAGAAAGAAAGAAAGAAAAAGAAAGAAAGAGAAAAGAAAAGAGAAGAGAAGAGAAAAAGTTTGGATGTACACTGAGTGCAATCATTATTTTGTTGTGTATAGTTGGGGCAGAAACTTTTCGTTTTCATGTATACACACACATGATACTACAAAATTTAAACACAGCCAGCCAGCCAGCCAGCCAGGAAATAGGGTGGATATAAAATGGAAAGGGCCCTCCTTACTCTTCTTGTTCTGATTTCCATCTCTTGGTGGCTAACATCCAAGAATTTCGGCATAAGTAACCAATCTGACTACTTGCAAGGGAACAGTATCCAGAGGCATCACAAATGAGATTACTGAAAGGACAGTGAGTGTGCCCTTAGCCCAGCTTCCTGGTGACTTGAGCACACGGAGGGACCCTTTGACTGCTGTTGTATGTCTGTTCCACTCTGTAGTCATCATGAGTCTGCAGAACCGTACCTTTAAAAAATTGTCCTTTTCGGCCGGGCGGTGGTGGCATACACCTTTAGTCCCAGCACTAGGGAGGCTCTGAGTTTGAGACCAGCCTGGTCTTACAAGAGCTATTTCCAGGACAACCTCCAAAGCCACAGAGAAACCCTGTCTTGAAAAACAAAGCAAAGCAAACAAACAAAAAAGTCCTTTTCCAGGTCAGAATCCCGTGGATGAGAAAAAAACCAAACCAAACATACAAAAAAAAACCCACATACTTATAACCAGGTTTAGCTGCAGATTAAGCTGTGTCAAAAGCCCCTTAAAAGCATGGCCAGTGCTTAGTCATTTAGAATGTGACTCTCCTAAGGCCCGCACGCACCCTTATACAGGGCCACTGTGGTGTCTGTGTGCACCCCACTTCAGGCTGAGCTGGGCCAGTGTCGCAGCCAGAC